AGTTTGACTTGTCCCCTGCGGCCCCCAACAATGTTGACGATCGCAGAGCCTTGACCACCGCCAGGACGTTGTCGGAAATCCATTCGCACCTCCGCACGGAGCTCCTACGGGCCCAGATGAGATATCAGGACAACGCCGACGAGCACCGCATACCGGCCCCTAATTATCAGGTCGGAGACAAGGTCTGGCTTGATGCCCGGAATTGGAAGACTCGGCGTCCAGCCAGTAAGCTGGACAATAAGCGTCACGGCCCGTTTGAGGTTACCGAGAAGGTCTCAGCATACGCCTACCGCCTCCGGCTCCATGAGGGTATGCATGTCCACCCAGTCTTTCACGTCTCCCTCCTGGAACCGGCACCCGATGATCCTTATCCGGGACAACGACAGGACCCACCACCTCCGGTGGAGATTGAGGGCGAGCAGGAGTGGTTCGTTGATCAGATATTGGACTCCCGACTGCATGGACGGTGGCGTAAGCTCCAGTATTTGGTCAAGTGGACCGGCTACGATCGGCCGAAGTGGGAACCAGCCGAGATGGTCAATGGTCTGGAAGCTATTGATCGCTTCCACGAGGCCTATCCGGACAAGCCGGGGCCTCTGCCGGAAGATGAATGAGCTTCGCCGGAGCTCAGCCGTAGGAGGGGGATACTGTCACGGCGCGAGTTTGGATGGAGTTTTCCGACTAAGCTACCGGCTTTTACTCTCAATGAAATCGGCTGGAACTCTCAGATCTAAGGCTTCAAAGGATGCTGATTCATTTGCTGTTCTCAAATTTACCCCCCCGTTGATGGTTGTCACGTGGTGAGGTTCGGAAGTGGGGGTTGTTTGTGGTGTCGTGATGAGGCTCTGTAGGGGGACTCGGTGGGGTGGCTCCGAGCCGAGGTTATATTCGGCTACCACGTGGCGCGGCGCACCGCAGTCACGTGATTGCTATAAGGGGCCTTCGCTTCCGCTTTGTTGTTTGTTTTCCCTTTCCTCTTTACTGAACCTTCGTATGTCAATCTGAGTACCTTCGTTCCAATCTGAATCCTGACCGTGCGCATCGCGCCTCTTGTCCTGCCTCTTGTCCTGCCTTTGGATCTTGTCCCAGCTCTCGTTCTTGCCCCCTCTGTACGCGAGTACCTTGGGCCCCTCCAGTCTGTTCTCGACCCTCTCCGTTACACGGCCAAGAGGCCGTGCTGGCAAGCAGGCGATAGGTAGCTCTTGATGCTCTCTCACTCCTAGGTCTTTCCTGACGCCTGAAAAAGCTCCGATCACGGGTGGCGACTCACTCACGGGCGGCGATTCGCTCATGCGCGGCGACTCACTCACGGGCGGCGACTCCACTGGCTCGGCAGAAGGTCCAGTAGCCCCGGTGAGGGAAAATAGAAGAGGGCGGCCAAGAGGCCGTGCTGGCAAGCAGCCAATAGGTAGCTCTTGATGCTCTTTCACTCCTAGGTCTTTCCTAACGCCTTTGAAAAAGCTCCGATCACAGGTGGCGACTCACTCACGGGTGGCGACTCACTCATGGGCGGCGACTCACTCACAGGCAGCGACTCACTCATGGGCAGCAACTCCACTGGCTCGGCGGAAGGTCCAGTAGCCCCGGTGAGGGAAAATAGAAGAGGGCGGCCAAGAGGCCGTGCTGGCAAGCAGGCAATAGGTAGCTCTTGATGCTCTTTCACTCCTAGGTCTTTCCTAACGCCTGAAAAAGCTCCGATCACAGATGACGACTCGCTCACGGGTGGCGACTCGACTGGCTCGGCGCAACCTGCAGAAGTCATCAGACAAAGTGAAAGGCTTGTAGGAGTCAAGCAAAATTATGTAGTGCAGGATCTCTTTCCTGCTTTGAGTGACACTGAGTTTGATGATGAAGATGATGGGGTTTTGTTTTGTTTTAGGGACGAAGATTGAAGTGCAACGCTGGGGTTTGGTTTTGTTTTAGGGACGAAGATTGAAGCGCAACGCTGTTTTTTGGCCGGCACCCCAATCTGATATTGGACTAGTTCAAAATGGTTAGCGCATTTGTGAAACTGCGCTAGTCCCAAAATGGGGGTGTACCTTATATCCGAGTTTTTACGGTACTTTTTTTGGTGAGGAAATGCGACTCCGCTGCGGCTCAGCTTATGTAAACCCCGTCTCATGCCTACAAACGCTCGAGAGTACAACCAACAACACCACACAAAATGACCCTGCGACAGCGCCTCCTCCTCCTTGAAAGAAAGCGCGAAATTATTTATCAGCATGCCTAGCGAGTGCGAAAAATTCTAGCCGGCAATCAAAGGAAACGCAGGTGCCCTCCAGAGACCGGTAGAGTGAAGTGAAGCTTGATAGGCTACCAAGCGAAAACTGGAAGACATATTTAGTTTTCACGGTCAGGTAGTAATCGTAGTTGAATTAATGTACGGGCGCCGGTGCGGGGTTTATGTTGATGGTTGGCGTCCGTGCGCTCAAGAGCGCAAACTCTCCAGATGCAACGCATTTGAATCGCAAACTCTCCAGCTCGAAAAATGAGGCTAAGGCTAAATTGACATCTAGATGCAAATCGCAAACTCTCTAATACGGTAGCGAAGATAAGATCAAATATTCACTACATATCACTCGGTATCGACAAGACCAAGTTTTCGCAACCGACGCGTCGCAACGGGAAGGTGCTGTAGCGCTGTCCCGTCCGTCGGCTTCTAGGGCTGTGACCTCAAACGAGTAGAAACATCATTGAATCGGTTTATTCATAGCTACATATGTATTTAAGTACGTGAATCGCAAGAAATGGCATTAGCACGGGGGGAAAAAAGAAAAAAAGAAAAAAGAAACAAGACAGCTGCAGTATTCAGAATTCAATTTCCGGAACGCCCAATTTTTGATGACGGCCTCCATGTCAATATCATTTGTAGGAGAATTTCGGGGGAGCTATAGCGAACGCGGCCCTTCATACGAACTGTCGAAGCCTGGTGATCTGTTCCGCCCGAGTCGTCAACATCGAAAGCTCACCCGCAGCAGCTGGAAATGGCGACGAGATACCTCCTCAAGAAGCTCTTGCAAGTCCTCGTCCGAGCGCTTATCCGCCAAACTCGGGATGAGAGTCTTCGCCTCTTCGGCATTGTCGCAGCAGAGGGAGCCTGTGCGGTTAACCCCCCATCAACGCACTTGCACGTGGGGCGCAAAGATAGAAACACAAACCCAGCTGTGCGCGCTCAAAGCTCGTCAAGTCCTTCTGCAGCAACAAGATGCGCTCGACCGCCTGCGCAGTCTCCTGCGTCTTGAACCGAGAGAACACATCCAGGTACGCCTGAGTCTTCGAGACGATCCTGTCATCGCCCCCCGCGATCACCGTCAGCGCCCTGAGGGCTTGGGAAAGCGCGGAAGCACCCAGGGAAGTACAAACTGGTTGTCGGGCACTTTAAACTTGCCCGCCTCTTTGCGGTGGTCGAAGATGACGTTCATCAAGGTGCGCGCCTCCGACAGGGTTAATGCGGTCGCGTTCTCGAATTCGCCAAGCTTGAGCTCTTTGCCGGCTTCCTCTTCGCCGAGAATGTGCTCTTTGGAGCGCGCGGTGGAGGGGACGTTCGCCATCGTGTGTTTTTTCGTGTGTTGGTTTATGTGGATTGTGTGTGCAAGATGCGGTGATCGTGTCGTTGTTTAGAAATGTTGGAAATACTTTGTCAATGAATGCCAAGCCACATGTGCCAAGTCAAGCTTCAGGACCCAGTAACTAGCACTAACCTAACAGCTTAATCCAACCTCCACCAACACTCCCACAACCATGGCCACAACACTCTCCACAGGCGTCGCTTCGGGCCCGCCAGGTTGCACGTAACAATTCCCCTCCGCCCCTCCTCCCTCCTGTTTACAGCGCCACTAACTCTCGCAGAGTCTACGTCAGTACATTCCACCCTCGCCGGTCACTCGCCTCCCACTAACACCTGCGCGTCTAGGTCCGCAACTTAGAAGAATCAGTCAAGATACCTATCTTGAAGCAATCGCTGCAAGCGATCTTCAGCCAATACGGCACGATCCTGGACATCGTGGCGAAAAAGTCTTTGAGAGCCAAGGGCCAGGCATTCGTGGTGTTCGACAGCACCGATGCGGCAGAGAATGCCATCCGCGAGGTCCAGGCGTTCCCACTGTTTAACAAGCCCATGGTCCTCGCTTTCGCGCGCACCCGCTCGGATGCTACGGTGAAGAGAGAGTGTGGGGAGGAGAGCAGGGAGTTCGAGGCGCATAAGCGGAGGAGGCTGGCGGAGAAGGGTTTGTTCCCTCGGGAGGAAATGAGGGATTGGATTGGATTGGAAAGAAAGGAGGAGCTGATGAGAGAGGATAGAACGCAAGCAGGCGCAGTTAGCACATGAAGCCCAGCGCCGCCCCGCCGCCGCTGCACCCGCTGACAAAGCCCCCAAGAAGCCCGCCGGCCTCAAGTCCACCGCGCCCGCCGCCGCACCGCAGATCCCAGACGAGTACCTCCCGCCCAACACCACGCTGTTCCTTCGGGATCTGCCCGACGACACAGAGAGCGAGACGCTCGGCGGGCTGTTTTCGCGCTTCGACTCGTTTAAGGAAGTGCGCATGGTGCCTGGACGGAAGGGAATCGCGTTCGTTGAGTTCGAGACGCTGGAGGGCGCGATCTCGGCGAAGGAGGGGATGGGCGGTATGGTACTGGGTAATAATGTGGTTAAGGTCACGTACCAGCGGCAGTAGAATGGGTTGGCTTGGGGTTTTTCATGTCGGGAGTCCGTATAGTAATGCGGGATTGAACAATGAAAGCAAGCGCTTTGACGGTATGGATGCACATATTTGTTCTCGTTCAAGACATCAACAGCTGCACACACACATATCCACTAAGAAGCTATGATCCCCACTCTCCCTCACACTCGTCAAACGCCTTCGCCCTCAATCATGAAAATACGTAAGCCCAGCCTTTTCCCTGACCCAACACCAGCGAAACCTACCTCGATTATCCCGAAAATGTTGAGTTAAACACTCAAGGCAGGATGGCCGAGTTGGTTATGGCGCCAGGTTAAGGTTTACCTTAATATGCAATCTCCTGGTTCGGGAAACTGAGCGTGGGTTCAAGTCCCACTCCTGTCATCATTTTTTGTTTTTCCTTTTGCGAGCATGATTGGTGTGTATCGATTTGGACTCCGTGTCGATGAATTGTACCCCAGGCGATGACTGGCAAACATCACTCCATCAAAAAAAAAACCCCATGAACAGTTTTTATTGACCCCCCCCCACCTGCCGTCCAACAAGGAGCCAAAGTTCAAAAAGCCAGGTAAAAAAAGAATTAAGAAATCAAAGCGCAAATCCGAAATCTACAGCAAAAGAAGGAACCCCAATAGCGCCGTTACAAAAAAAAGCAATACCATTAAAAAAAAAAAAAAAAAAAAAAAAAAGAGCAGGAGCAGGAACATCGCTCAATTCTTTTTTTTGCATCATCTACCGGTCCATACCACTCATTCGCAGCACCGCGGAAACGCCTTCGGCCGTGACGCAGCCGTGCTCGCAGATGACGAGTGTGAGACACTCGGCGGGCGTGACGTCGTACATAAAGTTGACCACCATTGTGTTTGGAACGTCGCGCCAGCCCTCGAGGTAGCCTGGCTCTGGGAATTCTTTGTGACGGGAGACGTTGACGAGTAGATCGGGAGGTGCTATTTTTGCATTCTCGTTAGAACCGTTTTGTAAATATGGGGGGAGGCGGGCTTTACCAAGCTCGTTGTTCACTATTCCATCGATATTGATTTTCTCGCTAAATTTCACCGTCTCGCAGAGCACAAGCACAGGTACTCCCTTGGCCTGCGCGGCCAAAGCCACCACCGCCGTTCCAGAACGGGAGTACAAAGCACCATTTGCCATAACCGCGTTTGCGCCCAAAAACACCTTGGTGGCCCCCTGCATTCCGAAGTCCAGGGCGTAGAGGTGGATGTATTCCGCCTCGATTCCATTCTCGCACAGACATGCTAGGAGATTTCTGCCCTCTTCGAGAGGATGGGAGTCGACTACGATCACGCGGAATTGCTTTCCGCGCCGCTTCGCTTCCAAGAGAGTCTTTTCGACGAGCTGGGACTTGGCGAATACGAGGATCACGTCATGGTCTTCGATGTAACGCTCGCATGTCGTGTTGATGATCACGTCTCCCGCCGCCGTGAGCCGCTCGTGGATGAAGTTTTCGATGGCGTTCACGAGGTGCCGCTTCGCGGCTTCGTCTGTGATGTCGGGGCTGATCTTGCTGATCTCTGTTTTGAGCCAGCGGATCGTGTTGCCCATGGCTGTTGCCATGGGCCGCGCTGAGGTCAGGTAGTTGATTTGGTGGGAGAGGTAAGCACCGGGGAGATGGCGGTTCAGAGAGGAGTTCTCGGGGGTTTCGTAGTCCTCGATCACCTGTGAACGGAGGACGACAGCATCAGCATCTTCCCCTCCAGCCTGATAATTCCCGAGTGACATACCCGCTTTATCGCCAACAAGAATCCCAAGCACCTTGCTGTAGATCCCACAACCTCGTGTTTGTTGATCAACATTCCCAACGTCAAGATGGCCGGGTGCACATCCGGATGCGCAACATCAATCCCAAACTGTTGCGGCTTCTTTTTCTTCTCGTTCTGCTCGTTTTCCAGATCCTTCAGCAGCCCTACAAGGCCATGGTACTTCGGCTCCGAAGGCTCCTCCTTCACCACCGCGACTGCTGCCGCGGCAGCTTTGGGCGCGCCAGTGCCGAGGCGGATCGTGGAGACAGGACCATCCTGGGATGCCTTCCTTCCGCCCTTTTGTTGTTGTTGCTGACCCTTCTGTTGCTGCTGCTTCGCGGGCTTCGAAGGAGTACCAGTCGCAGCGGCCGCGCCCGACGATCCGATGGGTTTGTTTTGTTCTCTGCGAGCGGCTTTTTCGGCCTTTTTCTTCTCCTTCAGTTCTTTTGCGCTCAGCTTCTTCTCTGGGACGGCAGCGGGTTTGGGTGGCATGGCGGCGGTGGTTGGTGTGGGGGAGGTCGAGGACTGCGGGGTGGAAGTGGTGGTGGTAGGCGCGGGAGTGCTAGTGGATGGTGTTGTGGCCGGAGTGGCGGCGGCGGTGGTTTCTGGTATGGGGGGGGCGGGAACAGCAGACGACATGACGGCTTCTACTTCTGGCGGGGTACTTGGGGCGGTGGTGGTAGGGGTGGGCGTGGGGTTGGATGAAGCTGACAGTGGTGGTGGTGTTGGTGGGGCGGCGGCGGCGGCGGCAGTAGTGGGTGGCTGCTGGTCACTGCCGATGGGCGATTGAGTCATGTCGCTGTCGCTTCTTCTTCTTCGGCGGCTAGTGCTAGGGTCTTTACCCTTTGGCTTCGCCCGCCCAGGAACGGCAAAGGGGACTCGGAATCCGAAGCAGCTGAAGAATCTGGCGACAGGTCTGGGATTGAAACACATTTCACCGGTTTGCGGGAAGGGAAAGCAACTGAAGTTTGGGGGCGGTTGGAGGGAAGGAGTAGTTGTGGATGCATGCTTTTCTATGACAACCATAAGGACGTACAATGGGTCTTTCTTTGTCTGTTTCTCGCTGCGCACCTTGAATTGGCGTGCGTAGGAAGGAGGACCGCAGAGGGCAGGGGACTGCTATGCAATGCCAGCAGAATTTTACGGGAAGAGGGGAAAAGGCCATCCGGAGCTGTTTGGCGTCGAGATGAGCACAGGGATTGCAAAAAAAGCAAACATCGGTATGAGCCATTGTGTCCAGCCCCCCCCCCCCCCATCGGTCCATTTCGTTTTCCACGTTGTCTAATCAAACCCAGCAAATGGCTCCTCTTCGTCAACAGGCACTCCACCATCATCATCACCATCCTCACTTCCACTCTCATCGGCCTCATTCTTCCTCCGCTTGCTCGCCTCCTTCGCGCCCCTCCTCCGATCTTCAACCTGCCTTTGGAACCCGCTCTTGGTCGAGATCCTGTGTTTCGCGTCCTTGCCTTGCCTTGCCTCCACTCCGTGAAGCTTCAACTTCTTCTTGTCCTTCTTACTTGTCTTGGGTAATGAATCCAGCAGCCATTTCTGCACCGTGCTCTCTCCATTCTTCGATGTCGAGGCAGCAATAACGTTCGCAATTCCCTTGACATACTGGATATCCTCCTTGGTGTAATATGTCATCGCCTCTCCGCCCTCGGTCTTTGCACGTCCAGTGCGGCCAACTCGGTGGATATATGACGCCACCGAGGTGGGGATATCGTAGTTGATAACCATGCGCACACCGCGGAAATCCATACCCCGCGAGAGAAGATCCGTAGTGATCAGAATCCACACCTCGCCCAGCCGGAACCGCGTCATCGTTTCTTCTCGCGTGGTGTCCGTGAGCTCGGAGTGCAGCACTGCGATGCGGCCGGGAGTAGGTAGGTCATATTGGATCTCGTTGAAGAGCGCCTGGGCGCGGGGGATCGATTGCATAAAGATCAGAATCGGGGGTCGGAGGGAAGTGGTAAAGAGCTGGCGGAGCGCCAGGAGCTTGCCTCGTTCGGTGGCCGTGTAGGTGAGGGTTTGTTTGACGGTCGGGAGAGAGGTGTCTTTGATTCCGACGACGAATCGCACAACGTGGGGAGGATTGGCGGGAGTGGAGAGGAGGGTCTTGGTGGTGAGCTCTTCGGTGGCCGAGGGCATCGTAGCACTCCACAGGGAGGTGCGTAGACTCCGTTGAGCCCGGTCTCGCAATGCTTCCCAGATCCCCATCGTTTGCTCACGGAAGAGCTTGTCAAGGAGCACATCCGCCTCATCCAAAATGAGGCCTTGGATTCCTGTCATGGCGCTCTCGCCGGCGGCCTCAATTGCATGCTTGAGCAGTAATGGGGTGGATACAACGATGTCGGACTTTATGCATGGCTCTTTGTTGTCTTCTGGCAAGATGTCGGCAGATGATACTGGCCTGTGTCCCTTCTTAAATTGTGAGACCTTAATGCCGGTTCCTTTGACAAGTTTTTTGACTTCGTTGACAATCTGGCCTACGAGCTCTTTGGTGGGCGCGAGGATGACAGCCTTGATCCCTTTCTTCGCACCGCTTTCTTTTTGAGATCGCAGCAGTCTATTGATGAGCGGAACTACATAAGCCAGTGTCTTTCCGCTTCCAGTCGGGGCGCAGGTCAAGAGATCTACCGGCGCTCCCTCCGGCACACCATCAATGAAAAGATCCTGCTTCATGAGGACTGGCAGAGCTCCCATCTGGACTTCCGTAGGGGAAGCGTAGCCTTGCGCCAGGATGTTGGCGTAGACGCGCTTTGACAGCGCATAACCGTGCGCCGCCGATCGTAGCTGCGTAAAGTCCGTCAACGGCGGGATCAGCAGTTCCGGTTTCTTTGACTTCTTCTTGGGCGCCTCCTCCACCGCCTGCTTCTTCAAAGACTTCTTTTTCTTCTTCTCCGCAGGCGCAGGAGCAGGCTCTGGATGCGGCGCAGCAAGCAGCGTGAATTTGAGCTTGTTGGTGCGCAGTGTAGACTTGATCTCTTCTGGCGTCGGCAACACTACCGTCTCCTCCTCCTCCTCGTCATTCGCATCTCCCTCATCCTCCGACCCAGACGAGGCGCCATCATCCGAGGAGACTTCTTCATCGTCAGAACCGTCCACATGGCGCCTTTTGCGCTTCTTTGCAGGCCCCTCCGTCACTTCCGCCACCTTCTTGGGCCCCATTCCAAAGAAATCGAGTTCCTTGGGCACCGAAATGGGGGCGCCTGTGGCAGCATCGTCCCTAGAGGCACCCGAGGCGGCCTTGCGCTTCCGTTTCTTCTGTGACTTGGAAAGTGTAGGTTGCGACGCCGCCGCCGCCGGAGGAGCTGCGACAGCTGGTGATGGCTTTTGTGTGTTTCGCGAGAAGGTCGTGGACCGCGTGAGCAGGCGGAATACGTCGGTCATCGTGGATACTACCGAGTGGCCGTTGAACCGTGGATTGAGGGACGGATGCTCTCTTCAGATGTTGCTGGTGAAGAATTGTCGTCAAACTAAAATTATTTTGACGCCAAGATTGCGTGGAGAACCCTAACCCACATGCATGTGATCAAACCGGGCAGTCGAGAGTCGGGTTCAAAAGTTTGGGTCTGTTCTTCGGTCTTTGCGATACTGAATGATATATTTCTAGTCGAGGTG